ATGTGCTGGTGATACACTCTTGTTCTTCAAAGCAGATAATCAACAGGCTGAGGCTGTTAAGGGTACCTTAACTAACTACGCGGCAGCAACAGGTCAAGTGATTAATCCTTCGAAATGCTCTATAATGTTTGGTGATTCCTCCCCGACCGAAGTGAGGGACGCCATCAGCCATACCCTGCAAATTTCAAGTGCCGGTTTTGAGGACAGGTATCTAGGGTTCCCTACTCCTGATGGTAGAATGCATAAAGGGAAGTTTCAGAGTTTGCAGAGCAAGATGTGGAAAAGAGTGATACTATGGGGTGAGAATTTTCTTTTTAGCGGCGGTAAAGAAATACTGATTAAGTCAGTTCTCCAGGCTATCCCTGTTTATGTGATGGGGTTATTTAAGTTACCAGATTCTGTTTGCGAGGACCTGACCAGAATCTCGAGGAATTTTTGGTGGGGAGCAGAAAATAGGAAGAGGAAGACTCACTGGAAATCTTGGGATTGTCTGACCAAGCCAAAGAATCAGGGGGGACTTGGTTTCAGAGACTTCAAGCTCTTTAACCAAGCACTTCTTTCTAGACAAGCCTGGAGACTTATTGACAATCCCGACAGCTTATGTGCTAGGGTGCTCAAAGCAAAATATTATCCAAATGGTTCCCTAGTGGATACAAGTTTCAGTGGCTGTGCTTCACCGTGCTGGAAAGCAATAGAGTTTGGCCTGGCTCTGCTTAAAGAAGGGATTATTTGGAGAGTGGGTAATGGTAAATCAATTCGCATTTGGCGAGACCCGTGGCTGCCAAGGGACTTTTCGAGACGTCCTATCACTCGGAAGAACAATTGCCGTCTAAAGTGGGTGTCTGAATTGTTCACTGAGCAGGGATCATGGGATGAGGCGAAAGTTAGAAGGCTTTTCCTGCCAATAGATGCTGAAACTATAGTCAAAATTCGTATCCGTTCTAGAGAAGAGGATGATTTCGTTGCATGCCATCCTGATCAACATGGCAGGTTCTCTGTTAGGAGTGCCTACAGCTGGGCGTTGAGAATGAAACTGTCCAATGAGAATTCAAGTTCGTCGGGTATGAATCCTAGGAATGCCTGGAACATCATATGGAAGTGCAATATCCCCCAGAAAGTAAAAATTTTTGGGTGGAAGGCAGTGTCTAATGGCCTTTCAACTCTGGAAAACAAGGTTAAACGGACTTTGGAAAGGGATGCCACATGCCAGATTTGTGGGACAGAAAAGGAAGACACTTTACACTCTACATAGTTCTGGGAACTTTTCTTCTATTAAAATTGGGGGAGGGGCAGGGCCGTAGCGGCTGCCAGATCATGAGCGGCCAATGTTTATGCTGGTTTTATGGCGTAATTGGTTTGTCCGAAATGAGATTATGCATGGGAAAGTGCCTCCTCCAATTGAGGTTTCCAGGCGGTTCATAGAGAGCTATGCTCACTCACTGTGTCTTATCCGACAACAGCATCCAGTCGATCTAGTGAAGGGGAAGTTCACTTTGAAGGGGGCGGCAGGAAATCATCCAGTTCCTGAAGATATGGACAAAAATCCCAGGAAGAGATGGGAGAAACCACAACTGGGATGGATGAAAATTAATGTTGATGGTTCCTTTGATGCGCATGTGGGATCTGGAGGCGTCGGAGCTATTATGAGAGATTCTGATGGTGCAGTTATGGTTGCTTCGTGCAGCCACCTTAGCCGATGCAACAGTGCTCTTGAGGCTGAACTCTTGGCTATTAAGGCAGGAATTATTATGGCTTACCAGTGGACTATGTCCGGTTGTTGTGGAAACGGACTGCCTGGTTGCTGTGCAGATGATTCAATCGAAACTGAAGGATATGTCAGAGATGACTTATTTAGTCAGTGAGATAGGTGATCTCCTGGCTGGAAACAGGGAAATTCACCTCAGGAAAGTGCATAGAGATCAGAATGTAGTTAGCCACACCCTTGCTAATAGTGGCCGTAGCGGTGGCTTGTCGAGTGTTTGGTGTGGTATAATAGCTGTCTTTTGATTTCAAATCTTGTAAGAGATGATTTAATTCCTGAGTAATATATTCCCTTTTCCCCGCAAAAAAAAAAAGAAACATGCCATGAAATTACTTTGGAATTTTTTTCCTACATTTTGCATTTGCTTTATTTTTAAAATAAATCAAACATGAGTTCGATCCTTTTAGGGAAAAAAATCCATGTGACAAAGGAAAAGTGCAAGTTTTTGCCATTCACATCAAATTTCAATCTAGCTAGAAAACGCCTGAAATGGTCCTACCTCTAAGGTTCTTAAGTTCTTCTAAAAACTATTCATAGGGATATTCCACTCACATGCATATGATACCACCTTTCTTTTCTAGAAAAAAAAAATGGTCCACCTAAAATATGCCTTGGCTTGATCAATGATGCGAAGGAATATGTTGCAGACTGGTGGATAGGTACAGAGTGCGCGTGGCATATTCTGGTTCTAGGTTCCCTCTTGGTTTCTCTTTTCTTGCATCTCTTTCTGGCTGGGCACCAATTCAATTCAATTTCTTTCTTTTCCTTTTTCTTTCTCTTTTTAAAAGATTTATGCGACTGATCTATATATGTGATAGATCCATAGTGATCACGGGGAACGGCTGACTACAAAAGGTCCCTCTATCCTCTCAAACGAGCGACTTTTTCTCTCGATCGTCTCCTCTTAAACTAGCAACATGATTTTGGGTCGTCATGCATGGCTTTTGTGAAGTGTTAATGGAAGGGTTAACAAATTTTTTTTCTTCCTTTTTGGCTTGCCGCACCAATTTTTAATTGTAGGCTTGTAGCAATTGATTTTAGGATTAATTCAGGTTTTTTCCCTTGTTATCACTTCGATTTTGCTTCAAAAGTAAAAGTATAAAAGTCTTGACGTAAATTTATTTTGTATGTGTTTCTGACTCATAAGATGCAGAGAAAAAAAAACTCAACCAAATATGCACCCCCTCCCCCAAGAGAAAAAAAAAAGAAGCACAAGGGAGAAGTACTTTAATCCTCATCAGTAGTTTTTGGTCAGAGGCTCGGCTAATTAAGAGTATTGAGCCATAAGATTAATTACTAACTACCTAGTCAACTGTATAAAACATATTTACTCATAGTTCCTTAATATTACTTTATGAACCCACATATCATTGGGTACTCTCGGTCTCGGAAGCATCATATCAAATGCTTGGAGAACACAGACAGTTTTTTTTACAAGGGGCTAAGCTAGCTACAGCTGCCTAGTTGTTGATGTGCCTTGGACGTAAAGGAGATTGCGACGAGTAGACGCGTAGCACCGAGGATTTAAGTTTCTGTAACATCTCTTCCTCAGAAAACATATCTTAATCCAGTTAATTATGCGTAAAAACTTAGAAGGTACTAGTATACGGCATACTAGAATTACAAGTAGGATCCGATTTTCCTCTTTCTTGAATGAGAAGAAAGAATGGCCAAGTATAAAACTAATTCAAGTATACAACAATAATTAATCAATAATTACAGGCCGAGAACAGCCGCCGGTTACTTCAACCTCCTTTATGGAATTTTTTAAAAAATAATACGATTTGGGAAGACCTATACATTTGTCGACAAATTTTCTCCTAAAAATTTAACAGATATAATTATATTACAATCGTAGTGTAATTATACTATAACTTGCATGTAACTACAGTGTAACTTGTATGTAAATTTTACTTAATTTTGAATCGTTAGATCTATTACAAGATTTGTTCTTGTGAGGAAGAAAAAAAATCACAGCACACACATATATGAAAGGATTTGATCCCACGGCCTCCATTTTACCGAAATAACATGTTACGGAGAGATTTTTAAAAGTTACATATAAGTTACATTATAGTTACAGTGTAATTATATGTAAGTTACAATATAATTACACTATGATTGTACTGTAATTAGATCTGTCAAATTTTTGAAAGAAAATTTGTCGACAAATATATAGCAAAATTGTACGATTTTAATGGAAAATCGCAAAATTATAGGTCGGTTAGGTGAAATCGCAAGTTTAGTACTATGTCGAACATCCGTGGTTCGACAGGGTACCTATCGAACTGCCATGTCGAACTGGGGCAGCTCGACAGATTGAAAAATAATTTTTAAAAGGAGAAAACACACTGTAGCGCCAACCATATCGAACAGGTTGCCCCGTCGAACTTTCCATGTTCGATATGTCCCTGCCATGTACTGTGGCACGTACTTTTTTATTTTTTTTCTTGGATCAACTACCCTATCGTTCGACAGGTACCTGTTGAACTGCACTGCAGTTGTTCGACAGGTTCCCTGTCGAACCTTCGACAGGGTGCTAAACTTGCGATTTCGCCTAACCGACCTATATTTTTGCGATTTTCCATTAAAATCGTATTATTTTCAAAAAAAATTCTTCTTTATGATGCGAGAAAAAAAAGACATGATCTACTACAAAAGAAGGGGCATATATAATATAAATTTGTATGATTTTACATAGGTGACTTATAAATCATGTGTACATTCATTACTTTATTTATTACGTACATTTTAGCAAATACAGTACAGAATACTAGTACTAGCTAATCACATTTCATTGCTGTAGTATCACACGGTTCCTGAAGAAAAATTAAACCAACTATTCGTATATTATTTTATTTATTTACGGATATTAAATCTTACCAATAGAATCTTCATATGTTAACACATCTCAATGTCCTATCATATCATTAGTGCAAGCTAAGCTAGTAATCTTTATATACATATTTGGTTTGTTCTCTTCACACTATTACTTTTCTTGACCTCTTTGGCCCCACCACCATTTTGCTAAACTAGAATAAATGCTTTCGTAATGCCATTTGCCCGTTTATCCATTTATTTTCTTAGATGATTAGTAATTATTTATTTATTATTGGATGTATTTAGTATACGAGAGAAATGCGTAGCTTGCTTGCTTGCCAACCACTTCTACCCCCTTGACCCAGGCACATCCCAACCGCACCCAACCCAGCAACCACCGTCTCGTCTCATTGGTGAATCCCACACATTTGCCCAACCACACATGCGCCCAGTCGTCTGTGTGTGTGCGCGTTGTATGTATCCCAAGCCCCAATCCAACCAACCACTTCCGCAATCTTCTTAACCAACCAACCAAGCAACCCACAACCAAACCATCCCCAACCCAAGGCCCCCAACCCCAAGAACCAAGGAGGAAGACGACGATGAAGAGGGAGGGATGGCAGCACGGCGCGGTCCGGGTCAACCGCAGCAAGCTTCTGCGGATCGAGGCGGCGGCGGAGAAGGCTGGGGAGGCGGCGGTGGTCGCGGCGCCGTCGAAGCCGACGAACGCGTCGAGGATCACGGGCAAGTGCCGGCGGCCGCGGTGCCGCGGGTGCCACGACCACCCCGCGGACAAGGCCCGGGACAAGGCGAAGGGGGCGCACAAGCTCCGGGCCTGCGACGTCGCGCTCAACCACCGCCTCGTGTCCTGGCGCGTCGTCGACAGCGCCGGGGCGTGGGCGGCCGGCACGGGAATCCCGGACTACAAGGGCGCCTCCGCGTCCGCCGTGCTGGCCTACCTCGCCGGGGGGAGCAGCTACCACGAGGACGACGACGACGGGGGCGCCCCCGCCCTGGAAGCCGCCCCGCCGGCCAGCGGCAGCGGCCTCTCTGACCTGTACGACCTCATCGTCGGCCACCACGCCGCCGCCCGCCAAGAGCCGGACACGGCGCGCGCCACTGACATAGAAGTAGCAAACAAGGACGGAATCGAGGAGGAGCCGGATCAAGATGCAGCAGCAGCGTCTGGTGAAGAGGAGGAAGAAGACGACATGGGCTTCTTCATGGTGGGGATCACAATTGCGCTGGAGTTCTCAGATGGGGAGGAAGACTGGATCGTGGTGGAGGAGATCTGATCCGATCTCGGTCAGTTCGATCAAGAATTGCAAAATAAAGAATGCAAGAGAGGTCATCCATCCAATCCAATCATCCATGTGTTGGCTCTGTATGATCCTGTCTCTCCCATCTGCTGGTGGTGTTCATATTATTGTTGCTCCAGTCGATTGTGTCCATGTGTATATGGTGACTTTTAATCATCGCTTAATTTAGTTGTGGTCAATTAATTGGTCATGGATTATGATGCATGATTCAAAACCTGAATTTATCTCATGTGTGAATAAAATGGAGAAGGGAACTATTCTTCTTCACTTGTTGGTTCTCGCTGCGTGATTTATACTGAATCTGTTGAATCTTAGTTGTGCTGATTGCTCTTCAATTTCCTGCTGAAAGTGCCATGTTCTGGAATCTGATGATGAGTTCATGGTTTGGGAGATAAAGGGTAAATAATTCAGTTCTTCAAGTGGCAGTTTGAGTTTCACGAAAGCGAGATGAAACATGGTAAGTAACATGGAAAAGGATGGTTCCCCCAATTCTTCATCTATGCTGCTGGCAGGATTCCTGTCTATCTTTCTTAATCTTGCTCCCTTTCTTGAAGTGTTTTTCTTTTTGTGTCAAAATCACATAACCACACCTAATATTTGGTAGCGTTTAAATTCATGGTTATTGTGTTGTATTAGCCTCTTTTCTGATCAAAATTGACACCCAAGTGGTGAACTTTTTCTGTGCCGAAAGCGTTGCTCCATGAAAGACAAGAGTACAAGACCCCTGCAATTTTGTACTAGTGTTTATTTTTTATGCGGGCAAAGCAAAGGTTTTCAACTTTTCACTTCAAATTCAGAAGTATGTTTCACCAAATTTCAGCAGCTATGTAGTCATTATCATCATATCATTTGATGGCGGTGTTTCAACGGTTGAAATGGAGCCGCATCTTTCTGATGAATGCGATTGATAAAAGGAATAGAAAACTTATGAATTAAGAATGCAGTTAGACATCACATACGAAAACCTATATCCGTACGCATGAAGGCAGGCAGGCAAAAGAAATTCAACTCTCTTTCGGATGTACACGGAGAACTTTCTTTCATCCAGATATCACACTGGCTCAAAAAACACGAAACCTATGAAGTACAAGGCCTTGTCCTGTTTTCAAATTTTATAAGCCTTGGTCCTGGTTAAAAGACACCCCTTTACTGATTTTATAGTATTGTCACAAGAATTTCACATAAAACATCTCAATTTCTACATGACTTTGGGAGGAAAAAAAATACATTCTAAACAGGGCTTAATATATAGAGCGCATGTCCTCCCAATAATTTTTTTTAGCACAGTTTGCTCTTTGTTGTTGCAGGTAGCTTCATTTTCTCAAACTTATGTTAATTGCACTAGCATGTGACGAAGTGACAAAATGCCACTGCTATCGGGAAAGCCAAGGGAGAAATTTTGTTCATTTGTGTCGGTACTGAATTGCACAAATTAGGTCTTGTAAACCTTAGCCAAGTTCGATTGGGCGTTCCGATGGGCCATAGAGAAACAAATCGAATGGTACCTCTGTGGAAAATAAAGTACAGTAGTTGTGTTTTATCTAGGGCGAGATAAGACTATAAGAGACCTTGGATTAAGAACTTGGCTAAGGTTTTATCTAGGGGCGAGACCGCGACATAAGACTATAAGAGACCTTGGATTAAGAACAGGGACGGACAAGAAAAAGGGCGTAGTATTTTTCCTCTTCTATATTGCTTTGCTGTTGTGCATAAGCATAACTGCATACAATGTGGGTGGGGGGACCTATATGAAAGGTGTGTGTGAAAATGCTGAAATAATGCAATAGGAATTCCTTGAAAAAGAAATATTCCACAAGACCAGCCTTGGAAACTTTCCAACACCATCATGCACGTTCCTTGTTGAAACTATCCTATTGCAAACACATTGGGCGAAAAACGGACCATGCGAACAAAGTAAAATAGCACACGTATGGTTTGTAAAAAAAAAAACCGTGAATATTAGGGAGGGACCTAATATCAAATAATAAAAAGGTGTGAGGGTGAGGATTCGAACTTAGGTCGTCTAGCCCACCACCTTGTAGAGCTAGTCGGAAGACCCTGATGTTTCTCGCACGTATGGTTTGTATATGTGTCGTGGCATGTAAAAAGAGAATTTTGAATAAGAAAACCCTACGAGAACAAAATCTTAATTATCATAGTCCAAGTTTAACCTTGGTGTGTTTTCCCAAATGAGGACAACTCATAAATACAAACAATACAACTTTTAATGAAATGAAAAACGACAATGTTGGGTTTGTTTTATTTGAGTTAGTTTTGTTTTCTAACATCTCATAACGTACTTGCCAAACGACGCCCTAGGGGTTTCAATCCTTCTCCTGAAATGAAAAAACCGATTTTGAACTTTTGTCAGTTGGGCCGAATCTTCTTCACCCAATCTCAACACTTTCCTCCACCTAAGCCATGGCACATTTCCTTTTTTCTTTAGGCCAGGCGACCTGCCTGTATTTTCTCATATGCTCTTCTCCCACTTACCAATATTTTCTTCCTCTCCTCTTTGAAAGAGTATACTCGCTCCATCTTAAAATAAATTTATTTTTTATCCATCCTATACATTCTAATGCAAAATTTTAAAAGCTATGAAACTAAAAGTCCTAGAAACCTTTACTTTATCAAATCTCAATATAATTATTTCTAACTTTATCCATTTCTAGTTAAATTATTCCATACTTTTATATAAAATCCTATAACTATCTAAAAAAATTATAAAATCCTATACAATGATTAGTAAATTTAGAATTATTTTAGATAAATAAAAGGAGCCAAAATAAACTTATTGTGAGAATGGATGGAGTAGTACTAATCTACGCTCCCATCCGTAGCCAAAGAAAAAACCAAAATTTAAATTTTCAAACTTAATTTTGAGATTGATTTTGATATATTCTCAACGTAATTTTTTTTCAGCATTAGCTTTTAAGTCATTAAAAACACATATATAAAAGTTTTACCTACAAATTAATTCATTTTTGTTAGCCAAACGATGGGGCCTTTAAAGGAGTGGTGCTTATGACCCATCGTACTCTTATCCCTCACTGTGATTTTTCCTTTATCGGACTCCTCACGCCAGATATAATTGGAGTAGATATAATCAAATATGTTAGAGAGAATCTATTATATACAACTTAGTTTGTTTTGATTTGCCATCGACATTATCTCTTTCTATAATATACCGGCGACTTTATCAATTATTCTACAATACGCCATTGGACTGGACATTCTTTTCAAAAATACCCAAAATACCCTTATGGACATACAAGGATAATAATTGATTTATCAAATTAGAAGTTTCAAAAAAATATGAAAACTTTTATGTGGCATTCTTACACAATATGGAAGTTTATATAGAAATTTCAAGTTTTTTACATTTATATTTTTTAAAAAATATATAACTTATCTGTTATATGCTATATAAAATACTTTTTATTGAATTTTTTAATATAAATCATCTTTCATACACTACATAAGATATTTTTGTGCTATTATCTCTCATATAAGCAATTTTTCTCTCATATACCACATAAAAAATATTTTTTTCTAAAAACTAAATATACCAGAAAAACTTGAAACATGTTTACACTTCTATGTTGAGTAACGAGACCACATAAAAATGTTCATATATTTTGTGAAACTTCTAATGAGATAAATCAATTGTTAATCTTTTACGTCTCCAAGGATATTTTGGGTATTTTTGAAAAGAAGAAACAACCCAATAATGTATTGTAGAACCATTGATAAAGTCGTTGTCAGTATATTATAGAAAGAGATAATGTCGATAATAAATTGGTGAACAATATGTTATTGTCACAAACAGAGAACAAGTTGAACAACACTCTGCTAGATGAGGCTCCTCTAATTGTGAACAACATTAAAACTATTGATTGACTTCCAGCAAATCAGGGCAGATCCAGATGCTGAGGGACTAAGGTCCCGTTCTTTTCTCCAACAAAAATTAGATGAAGATTAATTCTTTTCTCCAACAAAAATTAGATGAAGATTAAGATTTTCATAGCACGTTTTTCAAACTGTTAAACGATGTGTTTCGTGCAAAAAATTTCTATACGAAAATTGCTCTAAAATATCATATTAATCTAATTTTCAAGTTTGTAATAATTAAAACCCAATCAATGATACGTCAATACCACCTCGTTTTACGTAAAAAAAACTTAATCTTCATCTTTATCTTCAGGAGAAAAAAACACCACCTAAGTCTCTGTTGGATTATCACTTAGAGAAAGGGAAGATAGGAGGGGGAAGAAGAGGAAAAGAAGGAAGAGCAGGAGAGGCTGAAGAAGGAAGAGCAGGAGATGATAAGTCACTTTCTATACATTTCCCGATCCGCCCCTGCAGCAAACCAAGACCAAACTTCACTCATAACGCTATCTTAGAAGTTGCTCGTATTAATGACATTACAATCCATATCATTTTTTAGGTTGTCAAAGATGTGCACACGTTTGGTTTTTTAATCAAACTTTGATAAAAACATAAGGAATTTAACACTATCCTACAAAACATGGCAATAAACTTATTAGAATTTGGTAAAATTTATTTTGGCTTGAAGTACAATCTAAACAGTCCCTCGTAACCAAGATGATCACTCTAGTACTCCAGTGTCACATTACATGTTAAATAGAAAAGGAAGGAGAAATTAGTAGCACAGGAGGAGTGATCGGCTGTTCTCCTGCCACGTCACCGGAATCGGATCGCTAGTGGCTAGTGCACCTGGATGTTGACGACCTTGCCGCCGGAGGCCACCTTGGGGATGGTGAGGTAGAGCACGCCGTCCCTCACCTCCGCCGCGATCCGCTCCACCTCCACGTTCTCCGGCAGCTCCACCCGCGTCCTGTACCTCCCGAAGCTCGCCGCCGGCCACGCCTCCCCCTCGTCCTCACCGTCAGCCGCCTCCACGGCCTCCCCATCCTTGGCCGCCTTCTCGGCGACCACCACCAGCTTCCGGTCCTGCACGCTCACCGTCACGTCCTCCCTCGTCATGCCCGGCATGTCGTACCGCACCAGGTACGCCCCGGCGCGCTCCTTGATCTCCCACGGCGTCCGCCCACGCCTGTAGGCGGCTGTGGCGGCGCCGTTGTCGACGGCGCGGGCAGCTGCCGGCGCCGCCGTCACCGCGGAGGCCGGCACGACGAGCATGCGGTCGCTGTCGGCGTCGCCGTCCATGATGCGCTCCATGGTCCGCATCATCTGGTCCAGCGTCCTCGCCTCCGGGAAGCTGTCCCATAACCCTGCCCATGTTCGCAAATGGAGTAATTAATTAGCCAAGCCAATTCTTTTTTACAGTTTTAACACTCTTTAGAAATCCGTTATGTAAATTCAATTAGTGAATTATAAGTAATCGAAAAAACAAGCCAAAAATGATGATAGCTAATCTCCTCCACCCAAACTCATATTGTCCAACATTGCAAACCACAACAACATTCTTTTGCGACAAAAGATGGTAAATTTTTTTTTTGACTAACTCACCGGGGGGGAGAGGTTCCCCACCTAAATTGTCATTGCATTAATTAAGGAAGAAATGTCTTATTACATCGGATGAAGAGTCTGTAGACTAGAAGAGAAAACACCTTTCCAAACATCTATTACAAATCTATCATCAGGTGTAAAAGTTTCAGCCCATAGGGAGGATTCCGAAATTCCGCGTTGCAAGCATGAAGCAATTGAAGGTGGTCTTCCTCGGAATACAACATCATGCCTGTGGTTCCACAGGACCCAAAAGCAGAGCATGAAGAAACTCTGAAAATGTCTTGTTGGGATAGTTGCTGGTGCCTTTAGTTGGGACAGGTACTTAGTCTCATTGATGATCGGTTGGATATGAAGTGCTTGCCAGAAACTGATAGCAAAAGGGCAGTTGAAGCTGAGGTGATCTGCTGTTTCATCAGTGGTGCTGCATATGTCACAGGTTGCTGTCTGTACTATTTTCTTTTTCAAGAGATTCAATTTTGTGGACAGTCGATCTCTGACTAGAAGCCAAGCAAAGAGCTTGATCTTTAATGGCATTCTGCAGTCCCAAATGAATTTCCAATTTGGTGAAGGAAAGCCAGGCGGAGACCTTAAATCATAGATTGTCTTGGTTGTTAAATTGCCAAGGCGATTGTTGAGCCGAGTATCCGATTCATTTGTCAAGGAAAAATTCTGAAGAATGGTTTGCAGTTCTTGTAGGTCGTTTTGCGCTGCAGATGAAAGCCTAGGGGTGAGAATATCGTAAATTCCGAAGGATAAAATTTGCTCAACAGTGGCTAAGTCGTCAGTTGAATGCGAGAAGAGAGATTCAAACTGTGCTGCAAGAGTCATATTGCCAGTCCAGCGATCATGCCAAAAGGATGTTCTCGAGCCATCCCCAATGTGCACCGTAGTTATCTTGAAAAGCTCTGGCAGCAGTTTCTGAAAGACACTCCAGTGTTGACCTAACGGTAGAGATTTTAATAGTGATCTTCCATCAAATTCTTTCCAAATCCAATTAGTCCAGGAGGAATTGTCTGAGAAAAGGTTGAAAAGTCTTTTGAGAAGAAGAGCTTCATTTTGAGTCTTTAAACTTTTGATTCCTAGTCCTCCCTTTTCTTTTGCGGTACAAACCTCATCCCAGGCCACTAAACACTTTGCTCCGGAGCAGGTGTCATCACCGGTCCAAAAAAAGGCTCGTCGCCGTTTATCAATTGCTTCTATTACCTTTGGTGGGAGTTTGAACGCGGACATTGCATAAACTGGAACACTGCTTAGCACTGCATTAACTAGGATTAGGCGTTCGGCCTGTGAAAGTAGAGATGCCTCCCAGCCTGTAAGAAAACTATCCACTTTGACCACAATTGGTTGTAGATCATTGTTGGTGAGTTTATGCAAGGATAGAGGTAGGCCCAAGTAAGACATTGGAAGCGATTCCAGCTTGCACTGTAGCAATTCCGACAATGACGATTCCTTTGAACGGTCGATATGAAGGGAGATCATTGTACTTTTGGCAAAGTTGATTTGTAATCCTGTGGCTTTGGAGAATTGCAGCAAGGTTGATCTAAGAGCAAGAACATCATCCTCCTCTGCTCGGCATATCACCAGCGTGTCATCGGCGTACTGAATGGTCGCACATGGTCTGTCCTGATAGATAGGGTGCCGAATCTGAAAGTTTTTCTCCAGCAGTCGTTGCAGCACATCTGCCACTAGAATAAATAAATAAGGAGATAAGGGGTCTCCCTGGCGAAGCCCTTTTTTGCAGTTAATCCATTTTCCTGGAATTCCATTAAGAAGCACTGCCGACTTTGATGTTTGAAGTAGGCTTTTGATCCAAGAAATCCAATTGTTTGGAAACCCCCGGACAGCCAAGATTTGGAACAGGCTCGTCCAGAGAACTGAATCGAAAGCTTTAGCAAAATCTAGCTTGATAATGAGGGTCTTGCATTTCCTTGCATGGCACGCTTGTATCAGTTCAGTGGCATAAATTAAATTTTCAGAGATGCATCTACCTTTAAGGAAGCCTGTCTGGTCCAGATGAATCATTCTTGTCAGAACTTTTTGAAGCCTATTTGCCAAAACCTTTGAAAGAATTTTTACTGAGCAGTTTTGGAGGGAGATTGGTCGATAGCCATCTACTGTATTCTCCTTGCCAGGTTTTGGAATTAGAACAATGTGAGCTCTGTTAATTCTTTCCAGTTGGACTGAATTTGAGCAGAAACTCGCAGCCAGCTTGATAATATCCTCCTTTATAGAATTCCAAGCTGAATTGTAGAAGCTTGGTCCGAAACCATCCGGTCCCGGTGCACTGTTGGAGTTCATGCCTTTAATTGATGTTATTATCTCTTCCGTAGAAAATTGCAATCCTTGCGAAGCCAAAAGATTATAGTCTCGTTCATCTTCTGAGTATAGTGTTGACAGATCGAAGTCCCACAACGGCTGACAGTCGGACCCTAGAAAATGTTGGAAGAAGGAGTGCAGAAGCAGAGCTTTTCCATTGTGATCTGCAATTTCTGACCCATTGTGCTTGATTGATCTGATCCTTGAATTCCTGTAATTTTTTGATGCATGAGCCTTGAAGAATGCCGAATTGTCAATTCCAATCTTTAGCCGCTTGACCTTTCCCCTTTGTTTCCAGTATGCAACCTTGCTTTGGATGGCCTGAAACAATTTCTCCTGTACAAGATTTCTTAGGCAGCGTTCCCCATCATTCAAAGGTCTGAGTTCTTCAATATAGTCGAGGAGATCAATTGTGAACTTACAGTCTTCATTGAGAGAACTACGTTTCCTGTGTTCTTTCATCCAAACTTTGATGATAGATCTTGTCTGTTTTAGCTTGGCAGCAAGGCAAGCAGCCGGATCATTCATATTGAGCTGTTGTGGCCACCTGTGCATGACTGAAGGAAGAAAATCTCGGTCCAGCAAAAGATGATTCTCAAAGCGGAAAGTTTTCGATTTTGGAATGGAAGTAGAAGCAGTGAGAAGAAGTGGAACATGGTCAGAGGTGGTTCTAGTGCAAGAAGAGAGGGAGGTGTTTGGGAGGGTGTTGTTCCAAGCATTGTTGAAGAAAGCTCGGTCTAGCCTTGCCAGGACTGGAACTTCTCTTTTGTTCGACCAGGTGTATAGTCTGTCTGGAAGGGGTAATTCAAACAGGCTTAGGGAGTTTATTGTTTGGTTGAAAGCAGCTGCAAGACCAGTTGAAAAGTTTTGGGAGTTCTTGTCGGAAGGGGATCTAGTAAGGTTGAAGTCTCCTATGAGAAGTCTAGGGCCCTGGATTAGGGGATCTATTTCTAAAAGCTCATGAAGGAAGTCTTGTTTTTGATCAAGCTCGGCTGGTCCATAGATGTTGGTTAAAGAAAAGGACAGGTCTGTGAAGGTTGAGGTGAAGGAGATTGTCAGCGAGAAGTGTCTGGAGATGAAAGAAGTTTTTGTAAAGTCAGCATTCCAGGCAGTAAGCATGCCCCCTCTAGAGCCATAAGAACCCACAAAATCATAATTAGCGAGGTTAGGAGGTAGAATAGTTTTTGCTTTTTCAGGTGGGATGTTTTGAAGTTTAGTTTCCTGAAGGAGAACAAAAGACGGGTTGCAATCTGAAATCGAATTTTTCACAATGTCACACTTGTTTTTGTCGCCCAAACCACGAACATTCCAGCAAAGAACAGAGAAAGAACGATTCATGAAATAATAATAGGTTCACCGAAATAGCACATGGCAGACCCAAGAGCAAAAGGCCACAGCATCACATAATCCAGCTTACATGGAGTAAATAGACTGAAAGAGAACATAACGAAGGGAGAGAAGACACTAGAGAACTGAAGAAGAGCTGAAAGAACATAACAAAGGGAGAGAAGCAGACGCATGCTGGGCTTGTCCATCCCATTGAGGGTATTGATCACCATCAGTCCACTGACGAGAACACCTTTCGAAGCTGGGCAATATCGTGATCATTCAAACTGCAAGCAATAGCCAGATCTTCCAACGCTTTCGGAGTAGTCTTGAAGTTAAGGTCGAGCAGATTGTGCTTGTGTACCGCGTCATTGAGTTTGGATGAGCATTTGGCAAGTTGTTCCTTTAGTTTTTTCGCTCTGGCTGCTTTGGATTCCATTGAAATGTACAAATGTCCTTCTTTGGCCGCCAGTCTTTCGCTATATCGCCTCTTGACATCTGAATCAATTGTCCGTTTCTTCTGCCTTCTGCGTTTCCGGGCTGAAAGCTCATGTTCATTTTCAGTATCTGAGGGCACGAGGTCCTGGAGGCAGTCATGGATACTGGAGGGAGCAGAATGGATTGACGGAGGGACAAAAAATTCAGGTGTATCAGAGATTTCCTCAATGAAGACAGTGCTAGCTGCAGGCAGAATCGCAAGCAATCTTCCCCTGTTCTGAAGTCTTTGGTTGTTAGAGATTTGATTTGAAGGAGCCTGATTCAAGTTGCCCAACTCTGCCTCTGGTCCAACAGTTGGTCCTGAACGGGGAGGATCCAGCTGATGAGGGAATAGAAACTGTTCATAATGCTTAATGTAATTTCCATCTTCATCCACGTTCATGGCCAGCTCCCATGTTCTTAGAACCCTGACATAGACAGTGCAGACAATCCCCAAATTGTAGCGCAGCCGAAATCTAGGGCTCATCCTCTTGCCAGGATAGTGCAGAACAACAAGACGCAGAGAGGATTGTTCGTCCCCATAGAGGCATTGATCATCTACTTCCATCAGCTCGCCGTAATTTTCAAAAGCATTTCTTATCTTGTTAGGGAACAACATCTCTGGCGGGAAGTCAATACAGTCTAGTTCGGACAGCATAGTGTTGTGTTGAATGAAGCGAGCCGCACTGTCCTCAGGCCGTTCAAGCCTAACCAAGTGGCCTTCAGCTGTAAGATTCTCCTGGTGATCAACTGCAATGTCTCTGTCCTGACTGTGAATAAATCTTAGAGTCATTGCACCTCTACAAGCTGAGATGAGAGTGAACTGAAAACGAGGGTGAGCATCCTGCATTGCTTTTCGAATTACTCTGCCAGGGCATTCACATGGAGGGGTAACATAAGCAGTGGCGTAATGAGCAGTTACTCTCATGTCAACAAAGGGGATAAAGATATCAAGAATATCATCGTCACTGTCTCCTGATATGTTAACTGGATCTGGTTCCCCAAAAGCAAAGTCCTGCGCAGCAGTAGTGTCATCGGAAGTAATGACTGGCACCCGACCTGGAGAGAGTGAAGCAGAGTGAATAGATCCTTCTGGACTTAGACCTGCTAGAGCTCTTCTGATTTGCTCAGCAGCTGAGGGGCCACTCAATGTCGGAGGTGGCGATCTCGTGCTATCAGGATCCTGAGGTGGAGACAGAACTGGGTTGGCAGACAACTGTTCCGAACAGACGAAGATATCCCTAGGTTCCTGTGGGGGGACCGAGCTTGGCTGCCTCGAAGATGGACAGGCGCCGTACCAAGCGAGGAAACCTTTATTCTTGCATCTGAGACGAGGTGGCATACTGCTAAGGTTGACCGCTGGCGAGAGATCTTCGCTGACAGAGGACGGAACAACAACGGACTCAACAGTAGCATGAGCAACTTCAGCAACCGCAGCAGCTCTTGTAGGCATAACAGACACCAAGGAAACAGTCGCAGGTACCACTTCAGTTGAGACAGTCTCTAGATCATTAACAGCACATGCAAGAACTGGAACTAAGGCAGCCACTGAGATTGAACTATCTTGCACACAGACTAGGGCATTTCTTACGTCCGGTAAAGGAGAAGCAACAGAAGAAGTGACCGCATTCTCAAACCAAAAACCACACGAAGCTCAATTATGTTAACACAAAATTGAAGACAAACACCAAAAGAGCTTTTGCTATACGTACCAAATGGCGTGGTTTGGATGACTCTCCTCCTGGCGCTGGGAGTCCCCTGCTGCTGCCGCGGTCTAGCCTTTGAGGCCCTCTGCAGATGGTCCAGGCTCTCGGTAGACCCGTTCCTCATGGACCGTACTCTCACCCAGCATCTGCTGGGCCGGCACGAAGCGCCGGTCCATGAGAGCCTGCCTGCTCTAGGAGCGTGAGCCACTGGGGATGTGGTGAATGGTTGCATCATCCCGCTCCGATTATGGATGGCTTTGCTGGGAGTACGAGCGTTGACTTTGTGAGACGAGAGTGCAGAGAGATAGGCGCAGGGCTGTGGGGCTTTATATAGAGGAAGGGAAGGGATCGAGATGTGACGGGTGAGGGTTGAAGGGAGGAGAGTGTGGGGGGTTCTGGAAAATGGTTAGCCCGTTCTAGAACTATCGGGACATATCCTGGACTGTGGGTATATTTCCTTGTTTCTGTCTGCAGAGCTGGATAGTAGCAGCATATTTATTTAATTTTTTTGATAGTACTAGTATATTTTTGGATTGTTATGCATGTACTTGCGCTTGTGCATCACTGGTGTAGTCCGGTTCAGGGTGTGAAAAACCGCCGGTAACCGCGCGGTTACCGCGGTTACCGCCCGTACCGCGGGGGTACGGTTACCCGTACCGCGCGGTACGGTTTAATAAAATTCGTCCAAATTCAAAAATTTAAAAAAAAAGAAAAAAATAAAAAAAAATAGTGAAGGTAGTGCTTGATTTATATTGTTTTATGGTGAAGAAATTTCTCAAAAAAGAGTAATATTTATTCAAATTTGAGAGCAAAACGGATAATAAATTTGAAAATTGGAAAAAGAAAAAAAAATGGGCCGGCCCGTTACTGTGCAACCCATTACACATCGCGCGGTAACCGCGCCAAACCGCGTGGTTACCGCGTCAAACCGCGCGGTAACCGCGCCAAACCGCGCGGTTTGCCCGAATTTTTGAATTCAAATTTCGATTTGTAAATTTGTCGCGGTTTTGCGCGGTTACCGCGGTTACCGCCGGTAACCGCCGTACCGCCTGGCGGTAACCGGGCCCCCGGCGGTTTTTGAAACCCTGGTCCGGTTGAAGGCCCTCATTGGTAAGCCAAGAACTTTGGCGGATCAGCCAAAGTTGGTCTTTTCCCTTAAGGAAAAAAAATATTGATTGGTCTGAATGGCTTATTTGGCTTGATGACCATTTTTTTTTGCCCTCATCGTTTGGCTTTTCTTTTAATAAGCCAAAACGGCTTATTAGAGAATAAAAATAAATTTGTAGGTAAAACTTTTATATATGTGTTCTCGGTGACTTAAAAGCCAATGCTGAAAAAAAAACTACGTTGAAAATATCTCAAAATCAATGTCAAAATTAAGTTTGAAAATTCAAAATTTGGCTTTTTCTTTGGCTGAATAGGCCATCCGATGGGAGCCTTTGGCTGGTGGTCATCAGCCCAATAAGCGATTTAATAGGCTTTGGCTAAATGCCTATGCCCAAACATCCATCCGATGAGGCCCGAAGCCAGAGGAAAAAGAGCAGAGCAAAATGTTAAAAATGTTATGTATAGGAGCTGTTCAGATTGATGCTATTTTCAACCATACTATTTTTTTATCAAAGTTACCAAAAAAAAAATGTCTATATTTAATTTGTTATCAAATTTTGATAAATACATAATAAATCCTATCAAAATTTTGGTAATATTGTCAACTTATCAAAATTTTGGTATTGCCAAATTTGGTAAGGTTTATTTTCGCTACAATCTGAATAACCCCAAAGTTCTAAAATAAAACAACATTGTAATGGTTGTGTATGCAATGACTATAAACAGTAACAAAGTACACCAAAAATTTAGGTGGGTCAAAGCCATTGCCGATGAGCGATAGTACACAGTGGATAGGTGATGCTCTCGACTTTGAGGCCCCTATGTTAAAAAACAAAAATGAAGTCTTCTATTTTGCAAATACAAATTAGTAAAATTACTTTAATCTATGCACATGAAAAAAAAAAGCATGAATTGCACTTGATCAACGACCGCTAGAGATAACAATGGTGCTTACTATCTGTCTAAGTAGGAACTAGAAGAAGAATCATGTCCTGATGCAAATTCAATTCTTCTTACTAAGCGGAAAAATGAAACACTTGTTATAGCCAAGAAAAACAAGTTCATTCTTGCTGAATAAATCAAAGAGAAAAATATAAACTTTAAAAAAAATTAAACAAGATCTTAAAACATGTTATGTACCACTGGTGGAGAAACCTTCTTTAGTCCCGGATTGGTAGTCCCGGTTTGAAAACCGGAACCACAGAGGGTTACGAACCGGGACTGAAAATCGAGCTATACTTTTTTTTATTTGTATGGCCCTGTTGCTGCATGGTGTGTGTATATATATATATATATATAGGACACTCATATGGGGCACCATGGTTTCAAATGCACAAAATCACTTAAATTTTTCAAAATTTTCAAATTGTGAGTATATACCTAGTTATAAGAATTCGATTCATACCTATACCTATCAACAAAACAATTCAAATTTAACTTTATTTCACAATCCATGATTACATACCTAACTAATTATATGTATGGATGCTATATACCTAGAATCAAAATCTAACAAAAACAAGTTCAAATTCAGTTCAAACTTGCTTTCAACTAGTTAGTAAAGTAGTTAATATTAATACCTAAATAACTGAAAAAGTTTCATGCTCATTTGAATTGGGTATATACTCAATTTCAACAATGGTGCCCGGGCACCATGGAGCACCAAACAAATTTACTATATATATATATATATATATATATATATATATATATATATATATATTGTCGGTGATATGGGACCGGGAGTATCGTGACTAGAGGCTTGAGGCAGACACAATCGCCCACGTGGCCTGGCACCTTCGGGGACGTCGGGCCCGAGGGTGAGGTGTCCGCCCTCCTCCTGATTTCCCCGAGGGGGGGTCGGGTGACTCCAGCCTCGCCCCCGAGGGCCGAGGCGCCCCGACCCCTCGCGTTTTCTACTCCACGTGTATGGGTTAGGTGAGCACAGCAGGCCTCACCTAACCGCATTTATTGCGCCTCGGCTAAGCGTGTCACGCCGCACGAAGTGCAGTGCAGTGCACTCGATTATCCGGTCTGTGACCAGTCACAGACCGGTCAAATCGCGGGTTAGGTGGCGACAGGCGGTCAGACGCATGCTTCGCCCCATCCTGTCAAGACGAGAGCTTCTAGGCACTCGTCCCCGGCTGGAGCTAGCGTGTTACATCCCAGAGATGACACGTTAGCCCCGATCGATATATGCCAGGCTTCATCCTAACCATTACAAGCAAGATGTTGTTTGAAGAAGGGCAAACATGCACGTTGCTGAGCCGACGTGTGGTGGACAAGAATGACCGATTTGTGACCGGTCTGACACTGCTCACGTCGTCAGCACACAGCCACCTTCCCACGACGTGCCCGCCTCAGGCAGAAGTGGAGGTAGGTATGTGCCGTCCCATCAGGAGGATGTTCGGAGGACGACCGTGCAAATCTCCGTCCATTTATGAAAAGAAGAAAAGTCCAGTTTGGAAAGGGAAGGGTGCATGTGGTATCCCCTTGAAGTATAAAAGGAGGACCTTGCCCATAGAGAAGGGGGTTGGTTGATTCTTTCCAGATTTAGAGCTTAGAACAAGGGAGAGGTCGGCTGACACTTTGTAGCTCCTTCATACACAGATCCACCAAAACACAGGAGTAGGGTATTACGCTTCTCAGCGGCCCGAACCTGTATACATCGCCCGTGTCTCGCGTTTCTTCCTAGCTGGCGATCTTTCCACATACCGAGAGAGCTTGAGATTTCACCCTAAGCCCCCGGCCGAACTGGCAAAGGGGGGCCTGTGCGGTCTCCCGGTGAGGAGCCACGAGCTCCGTCATCTGGCGCGCCAGGTAGGGGGCTCAGCGTGTGTTTTCTGAGCTCTCGTACTCCTCCGTGTGCGCCAAGTTTTTCTTGTTCAGCCTAATGGCCGGGCAAGCAAAGGCGCACGACCTCTCTCCGAGTGTGAGCGGCGACGACGGGGAGCCAAACCCACGCCGTCGAGCTCGTACTCCACCGCCTCCTCCACACCAAAGTCCTAAGCAGGGGGAGGCGCTCGAGAGGGTCGACAGATCCGCGGCTTCACCGATCGCGGGCGATGGAGGAGAACGGCGAGATGGGGAGCGTCGCCTCCTCGTCTATGGCGACGGCAGCACGCCCCAGGGCGCGCTTCAGGCTGCTGGCGCGCTCCTACGTCACCCGCCCGTCGTCCCTGACCCGGAGTCTCCAGCCCAGCGATGGCTGGACGACGTGGCCAACTTGGTCATGACGGCACAGCAGCGCCTGGGTGCTGGTGGACGGTCCGCCACCACCAAGACCTCCGGCGCCGCCACTACCGGCTCCGTGTCGTCAAGACGGAGGGCGCGGCGAGCGGCGGCTGTTGCACGCCATTCGGCTGCCACTCCCTCGTCGGCACCTCCGACTCGGGAGGATCAGCATGGAGAGCCGGATGCCCGCCTCGACATCGAGCGCCGGCGTAATAGCCGGCGTACTCCCCGCGCAACGGAGGGCGCCTCTTCGTCCAGAGTGTCACCTCGACATGGACGTGAGGACCAGCCCTCCGTGCCCCCGGCTGGTGGTGTCGGCTGTAGAGCCTTTGTGGCGAGTCTTCGGAATGTCCGTTGGCCCCCAAGGTTCCGGCCCACCATCACCGAGAAGTATGATGGGAGTGTCAACCCCACCGAGTTTCTCCAGGTCTATACGACCGGGATTGAAGCCGCTGGGGGTGACGACAGAGTCATGGCGAATTTCTTTCCCATGGCCCTGAAGGGACAGGCGCGGGGTTGGCTAATGAACCTGCCACCTGCGTCGGTCCACTCTTGGGAGGATTTATGCCAACAGTTCACTATGAACTTTCAAGGCACTTATCCGCGCCCAGGCGAAGAAGCGGACTTGCACGCGGTACAGCGAGGGGATGATGAGTCACTTCGCTCGTACATTCAGCGGTTTTGCCAAGTCCGCAATACCATACCATGCATCCCTGCACACGCGGTGATCTACGCGTTCAGGGGGGGTGTGCGGCACAACCGCATGCTCGAAAAGATCGCTTCCAAAGAGCCCCAGACTACCGCGGAGCTTTTTCGGCTCGCAGACCGAGTGGCTCGTAAGGAGGAAGCATGGACCTGGAACCCCTCCGGTTCCGGAGTGGCAGCTTCGGCCGCCCCTGGATCCGCCGCTCAGACAGGGCGGCGTGACAGGAGGAGGAAGAAGAGGTCGGTCCATTCCGACGACGA